ATGATTTGAGGGTTATGTGGTAAAGTTTTAGCGAATGACGATGTTGCGAATGCATGGTTTACCTTGTAATGAAAGTGGATGTACCGGTGTTGTGGTCTCGTGGGCAATGGACGAAGCGGTTAAGTCCCTACCGGATGTTAAGGCTCCGGGGATAGAAGGCCTTGTGGATAAATGGCAAGGCCGGACACCAAGTTTCTATAAAGGAGTATTGGGGCCTTGGRAATAAATGTCAAGGACCAATACGCTGGTAGCAATCGGTGCCTTGGGGATAAATGCCAAGGACCAATACGCTGGTAGTCATCGGTACCTTGGGAATAAACGACAAGGCCGAATATCAAGTTCTGCAGAGGATTATTGGGGTCTTGGGGATAAATGTCAATAACCAATACGTCGAGTAGTCATCGGTACCTTGGGTATAAATGTCAAGGACTGGTGGCAGTTTAAGGCCTTGGGGATAAATGGCAAGGTCGAACGCCAAGCTTTTTAGAGGGAGGTCGGTATCTTGGGGGATAAATGTCAAGGGCCGATACACCTCGAAGAGTTAGACTTGGAGTACTAATGTGAAGGGTAGAGCAAATTTTAGCTCGAGTGGGTCACAGGTTAGTGGTCGTGTAGTCGAAGTCCTGGAAGTCTGGGTGTTTGGATGCTTATATGGTAATGTTAATCTACTGTTTTCATCTCTTGTTGTCCGGTTGTTTGTTTTGCTATTGTGTTTGATGTTGCTATGATTACGAGCATGCTGTTGTGATTAGTTAGGGAGGGCTACTTACAGAGTATTTTATATACTCACCCCCCCCCTCTACCTTAATTGTTTCAGGTGCGAATAGGGCCCCCGACCGTGGTGATGACGTGGAGGAGGCTTGACCGAGGAGGGATCACTAGTTTTGTTGGCTAGGATGGCGGAAACCGCCATTCATTGCGAGTAGCGTGAGAAACTTATAGTTGAGGTGTACTAGACATTGGGTTGACTCACGGAACGTTGTCCTTTTTCTTTATTCATTCTTATTAGGCGAACTAATGTCTTCTGGTTATTGTTAGTATTTGAGTCACTGATGTACTTTGGATTACTAGACTAAATGATTGTTTTCCTTTTATTTTTTGTTTGGAATTGCTAGCCACTGAGGCAATAGGAGGGGGGAAAGTGAATAGGTAACGTAGTGACGTCATCTTGTTAAGTAGTGAAATTTTGGGGGCGTCACACCTATTGAGATTAATGTGACCTAATCTTAAGTGCCAAAGATAGGTATTTTCTTTTTGAGAAACTTTTTGCCTTTTATTTTGAGTTCTAGCATTTTTAAACAACTCGGTATTTAAAACTGCTTTAGTTATGGTTGGTCTTAGCGCATACAAGTTGTTTTCAAGCAAAGTAGAACAAATATTAACACCATTTCTCGAAATGAACACTTCATTCAATTGAAATGAAATGGAATACATATGTTCTAACAAACAAGAAACTGAAATTAAGTTCCTTTTAATTTTAGAAACCACATACACATTATCTAATAATATATACATATTCTTGTTTGTAAACAACTTAAGCTCCCCCACTACCACAGCTGAGACGACCTCTCCCGTTCTGACCTTGAGAGTCATCTCTCCGACGTCAAGCTGCCTCCAGGAACTAATTCCCTTAAATGAAGAACAAACGTGATTAGTGGCTCCTGAATCCAATATCCAGGCGGAGTCATCGTTCTCCACTAAACATGTTTCCAAAACAAATAAATCATATTTACCTTCGTTGGCTTTCTTCTTTTTGGCTAAGTACTTTGGACAGTTGTGCTTCCAATGCTCGTCCATATTACAGTGAAAACACTTTCCTTTCTCTACAACCTTGGTCTTGCCTTTCTTGGCAGCGGCAGCAGCGGAGTCAGGTTTAGACCCCTTACCAGCATCCTTCTTCTTCTTAAAAGTCTTACTTCCAGAAGAAGAGGGTGCAGACTTGGTTCTAGAGGACGAACCTCGGTTGAACCTTTTTAAGGTGGCAAAGTTTGTCTCCCCTTCTTGTCCCTTACTTTTCATAAGAGACTGGTAGGTCTGCAGCTCATTTAAGAGCGTGTTAAGAGTGTACTCCAGCTTATTCATAACCGCATTGCTGTGGAATGGCAGGAAATTCTTCGGAAGAGATTCCAGAATGAAGCTGGCCTGACTCTGCTCGTCTATGACGATCCCGTTCGACTCAGCCACGTTGAAGTGGACCATCAGGTTGAGAACGTGTTCTCGCACTGAGGAACCCTCCTTCATGCGAGAGTTGTAAACGAACTTAAGGGCTTCATGTCTAGCCTGTAAGGACGGTTGTCCAAACATGCTCTGCAGCGAGTCCATGATCTCCTTAGTGGTGACCGTGTCCTCGTGCTTCTTGGCAAGCACATCAGATATACTCGCCAGGATGTAGACCTTGGCCTTGTCATTGGACTTGATCCACCTGTCATAGGCGTTGCGCACCGCCACAGTGGCGTTAGACACAGGAGCTTGAGGACAATCCTCTTGCAAGACGAACCTAAGATCATCTATCACGAGAATAGTGTTTAGATTCGATTTCCATTGTCTGTAATTCTCGCCGTTAAGTTTTTGAGCGGCTAGGAGTGCAATAATGGAAGCAGACATGCTGAAAGTAAAAACAACCTATATCAGTTTCATGCATTAGCCTTTAAACCCAATCAAATTTTAGCAAAAGTAATTAAGCACCCTAACAAAATTGTTTTGCAACGATGCTTCAGTGATTTAGAGCAACAGCTACTGTAGGGCAGACAGGTACTCCTACACTGAATTGAGACTTTCTCAACTAAATTTTACACCAGAATAACTCTTATTCCTATAAACTTTAGTCATCGTTTATTTGATCAAGAAATTGCTAACTAACTTAACAACTCCCGATAAGTGTGACCCGTCATTTTCGGACCTCAGAGATCCACCCCAATAATCCCACCGTAGGGAAAGAAAATATTGGAACAAAACCTAAGAGACCCTTATCCATTTCTGGAGTTTGCCTTGGTTTTGATTCCATACAATGAACCCTCCGTAGGGATGGTCGCTCCAGGACGACACGCAGGTTATGTATGAAACCTCACGGTGCAAACCAATGGCGGAGACCGCAGGATGTGTTGTCACACGTCCTTCTCCCACTTACTATGAATACTATCTCCATTCACCTCGATATTGAACCATGCAAATACCTTCCGTAGGGAGGCCGTGCCCAGGGCGACACGAGGCCGAGCATGGAACTCACAGTGTGAATATAAAGGAGAACGTGATAGAGAGAGAAAAGTATGTTATATATACTTTGTATATCAAATATATACGCTGTATATTACATATTCTCTTTAGCTCCCACTTAGTATTCTAAGACTAGGGTATATTACTTAGATAAATCTCGGCTAAGTGAAAATAATTAAGTGATTTTTTAGTCGGCCCAATATAACTATTATATTGGTAGTTGTACAATAATGTTTTAGTTCATTAAACACTTTAATAAACAAACGACATTATTGCATGTATATAAAATATTGACTAATTCAACTCCCAAGTCGGTTCCAGGTAGAGGTGTTCCCTTACGGTCAGTTTAAATACCTCAATCTAGACAGAACCTTCCTTAGACAGGGTTCCCTTATAGGCAATATTTTATATTTAGTCTTTTATCATTTCATTTTAAACCTAGTTAAAATAAAATAAAAGACTACCCCCTAATCATATTAGAAGATATAACCTAAAGTCTAATTAATTTTAAACCCCTTTAAAATTAATTAACTTAGACCCTATGTTTGCATGCAATTCTGTATTATAGATTTTAATTTCTTTCTACCACATTGTATAACTCTTATAAAATTTAAGAAATTAAAACTATAATCATGCATTGTAAGCATACATTAATATAACAATTATATTAACCAAAGTAATGTCATGCTCAATGCAACTTTATTTTCATCTAATTAATACAACACTTATATTAATTATGAAAATAAAACATGCATTCATACATTATAACATTTATAACTATATGATCCATGACCATACATACATACTATATATCAAACATACATATTATGCACGTAACCTATGGTGGGATTTTAAAACTATATGGCATACATTATGCAATATGCTTTTAATTAAAATATACATTCATAATGCATAAAATAATTAAATACCAAAGTTGGAACGGTTTTTGGCACTCTAAGAAAGCAAAACATTACAAAAAAGAGAAAGCGACTGCGACCGCCCTCGAACCGCGAACCGGAACCACGAAAACGCGCCGAAAAACATCCGGAAGAGCGCCTCGACGCCTAAGGGTAGCGCCACGGCGCTGCTGCAACAAAATGCCGCAGCAACAGCGCCACGGTGCTGTCTGCTTCGTCTTCTTCGCTGTTTTCTGCAATTTTTCGCCAAATCCGACGCCACGAACAACTTTCGAGCGACCCGAACTTACAGACCCAATACAGAAACAATATGCCCAAAACACCGGGCTCTTACATGATCAAAGCAAGAAGAAAAATGCTATCTAAATGCCAAAAACCGGAAATTTTCCAACCCGCAAACCCATATTTCGAAAATATGAAAACACCCACCAAAAACACCGAATTTTCTCCCAAAAAATCAAAACAACAACCTGGCTCTGATACCAATTGAAGGGACGTGAATCCCGAAGCGGAAGCGGACCGTTGTTCATGATATTTGGGTAACAAAATCAATATGCAAAGAAGAAAAACAGGAGAAAAATTATACCTTTGAAGAACTTTTCTTCAATAAATTTCCCTCGAACACCACCACTGAATCTTCCTTGCTATCCTCTTGGGTTTCGAGATCATACTTGTGGGAGCGTTTCTTTGGAATGAGAGGGAGTGTTGAGAGAGCTTGAGAGAGATGAGAGTTCTGTATTTTTTGTTCTGTGCCTCTGTGTTTTTGCAGAACTGCAAAAAACGAAGAACAAAAACAGTGACGTGGGGAGTTACCCCACGTCACTTAACTACCCACTCCCCTGCAAATTGCAGGGGAGTTAATTATTATATATTAATAATAATAATTAATATATATATAATTTATTGATTAATCATATTAATTAATAAATATAAATAATTATTAATCCAATTAATAATTAATTAATAAATATATATATAAATCAAATAAATAATTATCACTTAATTATTTATTATAAAATTAGAATCATATTCTAAAACATTTCTCTCGCATAACCGTGTAATGTACATCTTATGCACATTATTTTTAATCTATAGTTTTAATATGAATCATATTCATATTAATTTTATTTGAATCTCATTCAAATAATTTATCTCATAATATATAGTTTTAATTTATAATTAACTATATATTATAATGTATCAATATACATATAATCCCTTAAGTAATTTGAACAATTCAAATTCTTCCAAAAACTTGATCCTCGTTATGAGCTAGCAAGGAGACCTAATGGACCTACAGATCAGAAGCTCTAACGATGCAAGATGAATCGGTCAAACTCATTGACCGAGTTAATTAAGATTCGTTAACTACGGGTCATTCCACTAAAGACCCGCAATTGCACTCTTCTCACTGCAGAATGTTTTCGTGTCCATGGATATACGACCATTAATGACGAGTCAATCCTTCACGAGTGCTCGTAACTCAAGTTGGGTCAAATTACCGTTTTTACCCCTGAGTTACATCTTACTCCTTAAATACCACTACTCCTCTAATGAACAACCCGGTTATGGTCCGACCATTAATCGGAAGTCCCTCTCGGGACAATGAGAGGGTGGGGCCCCTTGTTCAAGTCCCGGAGTCAGCATTTAAAGGAATACTCATCTACTCCTCTACAGTCTAAGATGTAGTAAATTCCATCTTGTGAAGTTATGTTTCCAGCTCTCCACTCGGTCTCGTCCCCAAAATGGTAGGAATGTTGAGTCGGCAACTTGGGCCACTCTCACCCATACAGATCAAAAGATGAGCACTCACGGACAGGAGTCCATAACTCACTCAGGATTGAGAATGATTTGCCTGTTCATCCTAAGAAACAGCAATCTATTAGTTAACGGTGTTACATCTAAAGATTGACTATTCGTGATCCAGTCTTATACAAACTCATTGTATAGGATACCCCCACTCGCATGTCTCCACACGAACGACCTAGATCGAGTCGTCTGTAACCTTTACAGAGTGAGCCGTATCCATAGTGTTGCCAGGATAAGGTACCCAGCCTTATCCATATACTATAGACCTTTTAGGTTATTCTCGGGACATTATCCACTTATATATCAGGGTATATCAAATATATACCTCGTATATCAGGGGTATATCAAATATATACCCAGTATATCAAATATATACCTAGTACATATACTGTCCCGGTTACACTAAAATAACCTCGGATGTTTAGTTTATTGGATTTTGGACAATGCAATGCTATGAATTCAACAACAAAATTATTGAATAAAACTTTATTGAATTTAAATTTGTTTTTACACAAAATACAAACTATGAGTTTAGAGCAACACACCCAACATGGTGATGCGTGCCGACCTAAGGAGCTGTTAAGTCCCTAGGCCCTCTTGAATCTGACCTTCTGCCACTTCCGCCCCGACCTCTCTCTGATGGCCATCGTTAGCAGCCATAGCTCTTCGGTCTGTCGTGTTGGTCGAGTTTGCTGGCTGAACCATCTTTGTTTGTCTCTTAGAACAGGATGACTTAAATTTTCGTTCCCACAGACGGCGCCAAATGTTTATGCAAGGAATTGCACAACCCTGTTTAGCGAACCAAGCTCGAACCCGGTCCCTGGCTCGACCTGAACTCAAGGGTGAACCTGCACAAGAGGGCAAACTCTCCGACGCTCAAGTCAGTTTTAGGTCGAACCCAATATTAAGTTCGAGGTGAGATTCGATACCTGACTGTGAAATGAGGCCCTCTATTTATAGGTGGCGGGTCCGACAGTGTTCACGACCGGCGGTTACCTTTGTCTTTTTTATGTCAAACCTGTCGAGTTTGAGCAGATCGAACTCATCCAGGTCGAACCGGGGCTTTTTACACTTAGCCTTGTTTACGGGCAAACCCAGTCTCCTCGGCAGGTTCGAGGTGGACCTGAGATACTTCTTTTATTTCCTGAACACCAATGAGCGTCCTCCACGTGTCCAGGGTATTTTTACCCCCAAACAAATAACAATACTAATAATTTCTTAATTAAATTAGCAGAGTAAATATTAATATTCATTAGATTTCATCTCAAAACTAATTGGTACTAAGGGGGGAAGCTCATGTTTATATTAAACTTTGTCAAGTCCTAATGGTTATTTTGGAGCATCTTAGCTATGTCTATTATGAACTTTTGTGAGGTCCCTTGTGCTCTTTTGGAACATCGATCTTGGGATCCCATTTTTTTTTATGTTTTCTCTGATATCATATTAATTCTTAACATGTCCCTCAAGATCATGGCTCGATTTTGGCCAAATCTCATTTTTGGACCGGATACTCATTTGAGCTTATTCTATACCATATGAATATACATGTGGTTTCATTTTAAAACCAATGTATAATTAGAGGAGCAGCGCCCAAAGTCTTATTAGGTCCCTTAGGACCTGTATGGTTGGCAATTCAGTTTACGCTTATTGTTTTCAAATTTATCT